ACCTATGAAATGTCTTTCCAGATCCATTAAACGCAAGGAGAAAAAGGAAGCAGATAGGGAGGTGTTACTACAGTTTACAGATATACATTGCTGCCAAGCAGTTATTGCCTATTAACTCCTTTATTTAATTAAAAAATATTTATCTACACCAATAAAAGAGAAATGTGCAAATTGACTATCACTTCACAATGCCCACCAGCCAATCAGGAGTGAGTATGCAAATTAACCCAACAAAGATGCCAGTGGCCCCACCCCTCCAACTGCTCTGGGCCTCTGGGCAGCACACATGCAGGCGCTGAGTGGCCGGTGGGGCGGGACGCCTGCTCTGAGGGGGAGTGAGGGGGGGTGGAGAGACCTACAGGAGCGGTGCTCTGTCCAGAGCGAAGATGGAAGGTGGCAGCCAGAGTGAAAACCGGTGCCAGCAGCCAGGGGAAGGCCTATTGCACGAATCTTTGTGCAATGGGCCTCTAGTTCACATAGGATAGCAAGGCACCCAGCTCTATGCAAATGACAAGTGAACATTTCCTCACTGAGCCTCATTATGGGTTTGAAGATGTGCAAAGATAAAGGTAACTGGGGCCCTTGACTCCTAATACCAATCCTATTTAGGAATCTTGACTTTTCGATAGGAATATCCCGGCATATCAATTTGCAGTCTGCATGTCTCTCATTGAACGTGAACAACTGACCTCATGCTTTCACAGGGAGGTCAAAATACATTTAACAAAAAAAAAAATGTATTGACAAGATCATCTGCTTAGTTTTTTTTTCTAGCATTTCCATTGACTTCTCTTCTGGCTCAGCAGGTCTTCCAGCCACCCAGTTGCAGTTGCACAGGGAGGGCTCCCTCCTTTGGACAGATGCATGGAAACGTAAACGACTGCTCCTTTGAAAGGTGGAGAGAGTGGTGCTTGGCCTCTGAGCACAGCTCTGGGTGAGGAAAAGAGGTGTTTGATCCTGATCCCCACTGGGTTGGGAACCAGGCTCTTCCCTGAGGGGATTTATCCTGTGCGGACAGGCATTGCGTTCCCTGAGCCAGCCATGAGGTCCATTTATTTAGCATTTATCAGAGACGGGGAGTGAGAGAGGCGGGGCACAAGCCCTGGGAGGGCAAGAGCCGATTTATTGCCCTCTTTGCTGGTATTCACAGCACCTCGCTCATAGATAATTCATCAAACATGATGGCATGAATGAATGTTGTTGACTTACAGATGAGACAACCAGGAATCCAAGAACCCAAGTACCTTCTGAAGGTCACTTGGATGGTAAGAAGTGGAATCAGAGACCACGTCTGGGTAGATCCCAAGGCCTGTGCCCTTTCTATGGTGACTGAATCAATGGACAGGCAACTTTCCAGGCCCCCTGCCTCTTTCCCCAGTTGCCAGTCCCATCCTTTCCCATGCCAGCAGAAGAGACGGGGTAGGGAGCATCCTGGTAGACGTCCATGAATGCCATCGAAGCCCCATTGGAGGTAGCCACAGGAGGATCTCACCTTGACTTCTTCTTAATCTGGACCCCCTACCTTCCAGGCCCTGACATATATCAGACACAGATAACCTGCAGGCCTGTGAAAGGGGAGCCAGGCCAATGCCAAGACAAGAGTTCTTATACATGTCCCATTGTGTTCACGCCTATTGAAGCCCATCCGTGCTCTTGACATGGCTGAAAACACAGCCAGCCGTCAGGACAGAAAGATCCTCAATGACAAACCAAAACACAAGGTACTGACAGGAGAGATTTAACTCCTATGGTCACGGTCATGTTTGGACTTACAAAGTGTTAGCGAGCAAGGTAAACCAAGGCATGCATCTGCCCCGCTTCTGGATGGCCTGGGTTTGCTGTGGAACCTCACGCTGGAACTCTGACTAGGAGGGCCTCCTGGATGAAGAATGATGTCATTTTAGGGGACGGGAGACTCTCAGCGAAACGCAGGCACATCCAGGGAAAGGTGTTTGCGGCAAGCAGGGCCCTGGATTTACTGCAGAGGGGAGGGCGTGAGCTGACCAAAACGGAGAAGAAGGATGCAAAGTCACTAAATTATGCATGGCAGGCCTCACCGAGCAGGCGAAGGAAGAGAGCTTAATGATGTGGTTGAAGCACCCGCGGTAATGTGTGATGTATAGGCTGGAGGTTGGGGAGGAGAGAAATGGATCTAGGAAGACTCAGACACTCGTGACGGTGACAAAGGCCAAGCCGTGGATGTGGGTGTGGGGGAGGGAGAAGGGGAGGGGACACGGGTGCTGGGTGTATCATACATTCCCGTGACAAGACAGCCCAGTAAAGTTAACTTGACATTAAACAGCATCATCTTAATCTATGTTGCTCTTTCAAGCCCGAGTCTTATCAGGGAGAGAGAGAAAATAAAAGTTTACAGTGAACGATGAAGCGTTTCCCCCCTCTGCTTTCCCGGCATCCGCCAAATGCGGGGCCTAATTTAATTATGGGACCCACCGGCCAGACCCTGGAGATGAAGAAGGATGTGTCTGAGCGGTGAGAAATGAGTCAGAGCCAGCCGCTCCTTCCCATCGCTCTTCCCCCGCTCGGCCAAATTAATACAGCTAACAAGCTTTTGTTTGGATTAGTGGCTCAGGTCTGGGGTGTGCCTGTCAGAACCGTGGCTGTTCCAGTCGCTATTATTTATGGAGCGTCTGCAATCTCCTCAGCCCCGCATGGGGCTCTGCCAGGCTCTGCGCCGGAGCCCAAGCGCCCACCAGACTTAGGAGCTCAGCGTGGGGATGGGAGACTGTGGTGGGAGGACGGCAGGGGTAGAGGCTCGGGCACAGGATTTCAGGAATACCACAGGAGGCCTTTCCCTTTGACCCGGGCCACGCTGTTCTGATCTTTAAAACAATGGTTAACACCGAAACCGGTTTGGCTCAGTGGGTAGAGCCTCAGCCTGCGGACTGAAGGGTCCCAGGTTCGATTCTGGTCAAGGGCATGTACCTTGGTTGCGGGCACATCCCCAGTAGGGGGTGTGCAGGAGGCAGCTGGTCAATGTTTCTCTTTCATCGATGTTTCTGGCTCTCTATCCCTCTCCTTTCCTCTGTAAAAAATCAATAAAATATATTAAAATACATACATACACACGCAGCCGGCACACGGTGCCTGAGGAATACCAGGAGGGGGGTGTGGACAGTGGCGGGGTTGGAGGGGGAGCAGGCATTAAGGCACATTTCAAGCTCTCAAGCTCTCCACCACATGTGAGCAGCAGCAGCAAACTGGCCAGGCAGCGCACACTGCAAAAGCAGCTTCAAGGCCTTTGCAGCTGGAGGCGGCTGCACCTGCAGGCCTCGGCCCCACCTGGTCCCGGGCAGCCCGCCCCGCGTAACACTGTGGAGCTGCGCGGTCAGCAGTCCCAGGAGCACAGGCAGGGCGCGGGCCCGGGGTGTGTGTGTGGGGGGGGGGGGGGAGGAGGGGGGAGTTGGGGGGGGAGGAGGGGGGAGTGGAGGGGGTCAAACCAGGCACCTGCGCCCCGGCTCACTGCACCAGCCTTTTCCGTGCCTTTATCCACCCATTGCACATATTACGGCGAGTTCTAAGGAGATGACGGCAGATTCAGGGGTGTGTGTGGAGCGGGGCTGGGGGGTGGCGGGGAACCTCACCACCAACAAGGACAACGGCCGGACCCTCAGTCCAGGGACCTGAGAAACGCCGGGACCGAGGAGCCGCCCGGGGCCCAGCGCGCGGCTCCGGGGCCGGGGACCCGGGAGGCGGGGCGAGCGCGCGTCCGGTCCGGGGCCGCCGCCTCCGGCGCGGAGTCAGGGGCCACCCAACGGGGTCCCCACCCCCACCCGCCCAGGTCAGCCAGGGCTGGACGGGGCGCCGCGTGGCCGGGAGCCGGAAGCCGAGGGGACCCCGGGCGCGCGGCTGCCCGGCCGCACCTTCCGGCCACGCGGCGCCGCCTCCTCCTCTTCCTCCCGGCGCGGGTGAGCGGGGAGGCCCGCGCGGGGCCGGGGCCGCCAGCGCGCACGTGGCGCAGCGGGGGCGCGGGGCGCGGGGGGGGCGCGGGGGCCCGGGGCGCGGGGGGCGCGGGGCCAGGGACTGCCAGCGCGCACGTGGCGCAGCGGGGGGCGCGGGGCGCGCGGGGCCAGGGCCCGCCAGCGCGCACGTGGCGCAGCGGGGGGCCGGGGCGCGGGACTCCGCCGGCGGACGCGGGGGGCGCGGGGGCGGCCGGTGTGGATTCCGGGGGGAGGGCTGCGTCCGGCCCGCGGTGACCCGGGGGCTCTCCCCGGAGGAGCTGCCCCTCCTCGTCCTGCAGCGGGCGGGCCCTCCGAGCGTCCGGCCGCAGAGCGCCCGGGGGTGCAGTGCGGTCTGGCCTCTCCTCCCGCTCCCCCGCCCGGGCTGCGGTGGCAGGCGCCCCCTGGCGCCCTTCCGCAGGGGGGGCCAGCCCGGAGCCGGGTGCCACGCCGGGCCTGTCCGGCCTGGCTGGCCGTGAGAGGGCTCACAGCTCATGGGCACCATCACCCCTGGGTGACCAGCATCACCCCTGGGTGACCCTGTTCCCAGACGGCCTGTTCAGGGCATCGGCGTCCCTGCTGCCTGTCTGGGCTTTCTGCAGACTTATCTGATACCCACCCAGTTCTTCTTCTTCTTCTTCTTCTTCTTTTTTTTAAATATATTTTATTGATTTTTCACAGAGAGGAAGAGAGAGGGACAGAGAGCCAGAAACATCGATGAGAGAGAATCATCCATCAGCTGCCTCTTGCACACCCCCCACTGGGGATGTACCCGCAACCAAGGTACATGCCCTTGACCGGAATCGAACCTGGGACCTTTCAGTCTGCAGGCTGACGCTCTATCCACTGAGCCAAACCGGTTTCGGCATAACTTAATTTCTTCTTCTTTTTTTTTTTCTTTTTCTTGAGACCAGAGAGACAGTTAGGGGGGAGGGCGGCCCATGTCCTGTGACTTCTGACTGGTCCATGCCGGAATGGGGTCGGGGTGGCCTGGAGGGCGGTTTACCGGCTGATGTTCGGGGTGTTTTCCCTCTCAGACCCAGCATGAGCGACGTCCCCTGCAGGAAGCGCGAGGACTACCTGGAATGGCCCGAGTACTTCATGGCCGTGGCCTTCCTGTCGGCCCAGAGGAGCAAAGACCCCAACTCCCAGGTGAGGGGCGCTCCCAGGGGCGAGGGGCCTCGGTGACACGGGGAGGCCCGCTCTTCCTGAGGGGAGGGGGGGGCGTGCCTCTCCCCCTCGGTGGGCCGGGCCTCTTCCTCTGGCTCCTGGGAGCCGCCCGGACAGAAGCCAGGATGCAGCGCTCCCAGCGCCCCTTTGGGAACTCTGGGCCTCTGGTCCCCGGCCACCCCGCAAGGCAGACCGGCCGGGCAGTCGCGGCCTTGGGTAAGGTGACCAGATTTTAACTTTGGTAAAGCGGGACACCATTGATGGGAGGGGGGTTCTTGATAAAAAATTTGGTCTATATCTGAACATAAACTGTGCACCTATGGATGAGGACAATGGGGGTTGGGGAAAGGGCAGAGGGTGGGGTGGGAAGGGGGGGAAGGGACATTTGTAATAATATGAACAATAAAAATTAAGAAAAAAAAAAAAGAAAGAAAAATTTGGTCTATATGGAGCAACAAAAATTTTCATAGAATGCAAAGATAGTATTGTAATATATATATATTTTTTAAAAAATTTATCATAAGTACAATTTACAAGTATAATAAGTAAAAAAATGATGTATAGTCGTAAGTGTCAGTTTTAAGGCCGGCGCTAGACTTTTTGCCGCCACTATAAAATATAAGTAATACGAGTACTGTCTGCTAAATTCAAGAAAATTTATGTATTTATGAAATCAATAAATAAGTTACTTACCTAAATTATCTGAAGAGCTGATTTGTAATGACATCCCTTATCTAACTAGCTTACTAGCATGCAGTACGATGTGAATTGTCTGAGAGACAGTTACAAAATGTTTTCGTCGTTGCCAATCCCCAAAAATGCCATTGTTCATTAAGTCCAAACAACGGTGGTCAATTCTAACCACTGATCAACAATGCGAACTTTGATAAGCAGTTCTCGATAATCAGTTCTCAACAATTATTTGTTATTATTAAAGTTTAACATGATAAAATTAACAAAAATAATATAAAACTTATATCCTGGCTAAATAGCCACATGGCCGCCGAAAACCGTATATTCCCTTCCCCTTCTGCCGCCGTTCCCTAGCTGGTCGGGCATTCTTTCCAAAAATTGGGACTTTTTTAAAAACGCCGAGGGACACGGGACAAATAGTTAATAAAAACTGGGACGTCTGGTCACCGTAGCCTTGGGCCTGTTCCACTGCAGGTGGGCGCCTGCATCGTCAACGCGGAGAACAAGATCGTGGGCATCGGCTACAACGGGATGCCCAACGGGTGCAGCGATGACCTGCTGCCCTGGCGGCGGACGGCCGAGCGGAGGCTGGACACCAAGTACCCGTACGGTAGGCCGCCCGGCACCCCGCCTCGCCAGGGGCGTCCTCCCTTCCCGGCCCGCGGCGGCGGACAGAGAGACAAAGGCCCACGGGGCGAGCCCAGTTTCCTGTTCACCGGTGAAGCCCCAGAGACCCGGACCGGGAGGGGCGTGGGGTGGCAGGCAGCCGGGGCCTGAGGCCGGGCTCTGCGCCCTGCCCTGTGTGGGCCGGCTGCGTGTCCCTGCAGACCCCGCGGACCGCAGGGCATGGGGGGCGGCTTCTGTGCGAGGGCCGCTGCCCGGGGAGGAGGACTGTGCCCGGGGAGGACTGTGCCTCCGGGAGGACTGTGCCTGGGGAGGTGCGTGCCCGGGGAGGACTGTGCTCGGGGAGGAGGACTGTGCCCGGGGAGGACTGTGCCTCCGGGAGGACTGTGCTCGGGGAGGAGGACTGTGCTCGGGGAGGAGGACTGTGCCCGGGGAGGACTGTGCCCGGGGAGGACTGTGCCCGGGGAGGAGGACTGTGCCCGGGGAGGACTGTGCCCGGGAGGACTGTGCTCGGGGAGGAGGACTGTGCCCGGGGAGGACTGTGCCCGGGGAGACTGTGCCCGAGGAGGACTGTGCCTCCGGGAGGACTGTGCCCGGGGAGGAGGACTGTGCCTGGGAGGACTGTGCTCGGGGAGGAGGATTGTGTCCGGGGAGACTGTGCCCGGGGAGGACTGTGCCCGGGGAGGACTGTTTCCGGGGAGGACTGTGCCTCCGGGAGGACTGTGCCTGGGGAGGTGCGTGCCCGGGGAGGACTGTGCTCTGGGGAGGAGGACTGTGCCCGGGGAGGACTATGTCCCGGGGAGGACCGTGCCCCGGGAGGACTGTATCCCGGGGAGGACTGTGCCCTGGGGAGGAGGACTGTGCTGGGGGAGGACTGTGCCTAGGGAGGTCCGTGCCCTGGGGAGGACTGTGCCCCCAGGAGGACTGTGCTCGGGGAGGACTGTGCTTGGGGAGGTCCGTGCCCGGGGAGGACTGTGCTCCGGGGAGAAGGACTGTGCTCCGGGGAGGACTGTGCCCTGGGAGGAGGACTGTGCCCGGGGAGGATCGTGCCCGGGGAGGACTGTGCTCCGGGGAGGAGGACTGTGCTCCGGGGAGGACTGTGCCCTGGGAGGAGGACTGTGCCCGGGGAGGACTGTGCCCCGGGAGGACTGTGTCCCGGGGAGTACTGTGCCCTTGAGGACTGTGCCCTTGAGGACTGTGCCTGGGGAGTACTGTGCCCTTGAGGACTGTGCCCTTGAGGACTGTGCCCGGGGAGGAGGACTGTGCCTGGGGAGGACTGTGCCCGGGAGGACTGTGCCGGGGAGGACTGTGCCCGGGGAGGACTGTGCCCCCAGGAGGACTGTGCCCGGGGAGGACTGTGCCCCGGGAGGACTGTGTCCCGGAGAGTACTGTGCCCTTGAGGACTGTGCCCAGGGAGGACTGTGCCCGGGGAGTACTGTGCCCTTGAGGACTGTGCCCAGGGAGGACTGTGCCCAGGGAGGAGGACTGTGCCCGGGGAGGACTGTGCCAGGGGAGGACTGTGCCCGGGGAGGACTGTGCCCGGGGAGGACTGTGCCCGGGGAGGAGGACTGTGCCCCGGGGAGGAGGACTGTGCCCTTGAGAACTGTGCCCGGGGAGGACTGTGCCCCGGGGAGGACTGTGCTGGGGGAGGATTGTGCCTCCGGGAGGACTGTGCCCCGGGGAGGACTGTGCCCCGGGGAGGACTGTGGTCAGGGAGGACTGTGCCCAGGAGGACTGTGCCCGGGGAGGACTGTGCCTCCGGGAGGACTGTGCCCGGGGAGGACTGTGCCCGGGGAGGACTGTGCCCGGGGAGGACTGTGCCTGGGAGGACTGTGTCCCGGGAGGACTGTTCCCGGGGAGGACTGTGTGTGACGGTCCTGCAGGCTGGTTCCTGGCTGCTTGGGAGCAGGGCCAGCTCAGCAGGCATGGCCGGGTGTGGCGCGGGTGAGAATCAGGGCCCCGTCAGTCCCTCTCTCGCTCACGAAAGGGGGCTGGAGCTCCCCTCGGCGAGGCTCCCGCTGTCCTGGGGGCTCAGCAGTCCGAGCCCATCCAGATGGGGGACCGGACCCCTCGGGCCTGGCCGTCTGATCTGCGTGTTGCCATTGGAAAAGGGTCCCCTGTCTCTTATCCTGTGTTGCCTGCCTGAGCCCCAGGGAGGGTCACTCGGAGCGTGTCTGGGAGGGACAGACTATAGCTCCACCGTTCCCTTCATTCCTTGGCGACCCGGGAACTAAGGCAAAGAGGGCTGCACGCGCTTCGTGTGGCATCTCCATGATGTCGGGGCCTGCACGGTGTCTGGGACGGACAGGCCGGGCCTGGGGGAGCCGCGTGGGCCGAGGCCGTCCCTCAGGGAGAGCGCGCGCCTCGGGGGGCGGTCCCGGGTGCGATGACGGGAGACCTTTCGCTGGGGCCCTTCCCTGCAGCTTTCCTCTGGGTCTGTCTCCTGCAGAATCCCAGGTCTGCCGGGAGCCTGCCTTGTGTTCTTTTACTAACGATGTCAGACCTCAGCCGAGTTAAATAAACCCATCGATTTCTTCTCCAACTGCTCCAGGCAGCTGCTGTGTTTGGGAGAGAAGAAGAAAGATGCCCGGAGGTGGGAGAGGAGCTGAGGAATGCCGGCGGGGAGAACGACCGAGCGCTCTGGGTTTCCAGGGAATAAAGCTTGGTTAGCGATTCGGGCATTTCATAGGCAGACTAGAGAGCTGGTGCACGAAATTGTGCGAGGGGCTCAGCCCTCGCAGCCCCAGCTTCATCCCTGAAGGTCATTTGGCTGTCCGGTCTAATTAGCTTTTATTATTACAGACTAGAGGCTCGGTGCACGAAATTCGTGAAGCCAGTCTGCCCCCTCTCCAATCTGGGACTCCTCGAGGGATGTCCGACCTCCCGATTAGGCCCAATCCTAGTAGGATCATAGTGGGATCAGGTCTAATTGGGCAGTTGGACATCCCTCTCACAATCCAGGACTGCTGGCTCCCAACTGCTCGCCTGCCTGCCTTCCTGATCGCCCCTAACTGCTTCTGCCTGCCAGCCTGATCACCCCCTAACCACTCCCCTGCCAGCCTGATTGATGCCTAACTGCTCTCCTGCCATCCCGATTGCCCCTAACTGCCTTCCTTGCTGGCCTGGTCATCGCTAACTGCCCTCCCCTGCAAATCTGGTCTCCCCAACTGCCCTTTCCTGCCAATCGGGTCACCCCTTAACTGAGCACAAGCCAGATGGGTGGGACCGGACCCTTTGGGTCTGACCCCTCCCCTCCCAGCCTCATCACCACTAATTGCTCTCCCCTGCTGGTCTGCCCCTCACCCCCAACTGCCCTCCTTTGCAGGCCTGGGTCCCCTCAAACTTCCCTCCCCTGCAGGCCTGGTCCCCCCAGCTGCCCTCTCCTGCAGGCCTGGTCTCCCCCAACTGCTCTCCCTTGCAGGCCTGGGTTTCCCCTAACTAACTTCCTTTCCCTGTAGGCCAGATCGCCTCCAACTTCCTTCCTCTGCTGGCTTGGTCACCCCTAACTAAAATCCCCTGCAGGCTTGATCGCCCCCAACTGCCCTCCCTTGCAGGCCTGGTCCCTCCCCTGCTGGCCATCTTGTGGTGGCCATCCTGTGTCCACATGGGGACAGCCATCTTTGAGCACACGGGGCAGCCATCTTGTATGTTGGAGTGACATTCCATTTGCATGTTACTCTCTTATTAGCTAGGATGAGCCTTTGTGGAGTGCGTGAACTGGAAAACGTGCCAATGTGGTTTGGAAACTTTGTCTTCCTGCTTAGATCGTAAGCTTTCGATGGTAGAAAAGAACAGAAGGGACTCGTTGTTCTTGGGTGCGTGCAAAGGCTCAGGGCACAGTTCGGTCTAAAATCGCAGGCTGGAGGGTCCACGCGTTCCGTTAGCAGCGACACAGATGTAGGCCGCGGTCGTTCCTTCACAGAATCCAGTGGGAGTGGGGGCAGCATAGAGGGTCCCTGTGGGTTCCTGAGGGGTCCACCACGGGGGACCCAGGCCGTCCTGTCCCTGTGGGCCCCGGGCAGACGGGTGGCAGTGACCCAGAAGCCAGAGCCTGCAGCTCCTGCCCAGTCCCCGGCTCCCCTGTGTGCTGGCATCTTGGGCGGAGCTGGTTTGTGTGCCAGGCTCACTGCCTTCTGCCCGAGTTGGGGAGAGTACCTTTCAGGGCTCCTGTCCGGAAGGAATGAAAAACCCCACCCACACAGCCTCACGGGCTGCTGTTTTCGAATAGCGGCTGAGTTTCTGGGCCCTGCCTGCCTGGCTGGCTGCATTATTTTTTACTCTCCGAGCAATACCTCTAGGGTTTCCAAGCTCTTGGCCCTCACGCACCAATTATCCATTTTACACGTGGCTGTGTTAGAGTGCTGGCCGTTTTCTTCCGCGAGAGCACGCTTGTAGTTGGAGGTTCCATAAAAGTTATGGAAGGTATTAAATGGTGTTTAAAAGGCATTCAGTGTTACCACGGCGGTGAAATACACAAAGGCAGGTTCTCCGTCAGATAATGATGACTGGCTGTCCACCAGGCTTGCCTTTTCCCGATTTCCGCCCGCAGAGTGAAAAAGGTTTAGAGCCCCGCCAGTGTGGCTCAGTGGTGAGCGTTGACCTGTGAACCAGGAGGTCACGGTTGGATTCCTGGTTGGGGCACATGCCCAGGTTGCAGACTCCATCCCCAGTGTGGGGTGTGTAGGAGACAGCCAATCAATGAGTCTCATCCTCGATGTTTCTATTTCTCCCTCTCCCTTCCTCTTTGAAATCAATAAGAATATATCTTTAAAAAAAATGTTCAGAGAGCCTTGGGTAAAATAGAAATGTTTGGTGATCATTGACTAAAATGCAAATTCTCTTTACTTCTGTTTTTTTTTTTTTTAAATATATTTTATTGATTTTTTACAGAGAGGAAGGGAGAGAGAGAGTTAGAAACATCGATGAGAGAGAGCCATTGATCAGCTGCCTCTTGCACACCCCCTACTGGGGATGTGCCCGCAACCA